CAATGTTGGGAAAAGTCATCTGTCAAGCATGGGAAAATCAGGAAGTCCAGGCAGTTCAAATGAATAAAAAGGTTTACTACAAGCTTATGCTCCCTATAAGAATCTAAACTATGAATGGTCAAAACAAATAGGTGATAGATAAGAGTCAATGGGATTCAAGGTGGGCTGGACTTCGATCTCTTTTGATCATGAAGGGACATCAAAGTGATGACGCGTTTGACTCCTCCCTCCCTCAGACTGGTCATCTCCTACATCAACCCTGTGTGGAAGGCTCTTTCTAGTCTGCTTCCACACTTACAATTTTTGGTTGGGCTTAAAAAGCAAATGTTTGCAGAACGAATTTAATCTGTTTATAAGAATGATTACTCAATCGGGTCACTGAGGGCACTGGATGTGTGGTTCAACTGACCAGCTTGAAAAATGGCTTCCCACCAGCTGGTGGTGGCATCTAGTCTGGCCTGGCTGATTCTTAAGTTCTGGTTGGGAGGCTATTTTTTTCTCCTCCACAACCCCACCCAAATATCAAGGGGATTCCAGAAGAACCTCTTGGGTGGTACAGACCCACACAGGGGAGGGCCTCTTTCTCTCCCTGCTCCAAAGAATGGCAGTGAGGCATCTCTGAAACCTAGATGAAGAATGTCTCTTGCTTACTGGCTGGCTTGCTCTGTCTTTAAGATGTTCTGCTTCTTAATGTATGTGTTTCAATTCTGATACAATGCTCATTAGCTTTTAATGAAACTTTATGCTGTTTTGATGCTTTGGGGGTATATTTTTATTGTTGTTTCATGAAAGTTAGCTGATGGGATTGCATTTTGGCCAAAAGAAAAGCAATGCAGATGGACCATATCATCCAGCATATCCTTAAAAATAGAATGTCTCAGGCAGATAGTTCATGTATGATTTTTTTAATGATTTAGATTCTGGCATAAATAAAATACTGAAAGCATTTAGAACTCATCCACTCTTCAAAAGAGATATACTTAGGGCTTTAATTGTTCTACTAAACGCTGGATTGGGTGCAATGGAACAGGCTTTCCTTCAACCTCCTTTCAGCTACAAGAATGCCCTTTTAATCTAATCACATGGGCTAAAAAAGGAACAGATCCCTTTCCCGAGACTGCTCTCTTTGGTTTACATTCCGGAAAGCTCTAATCACTAAATGAAATCCATGAATGTAAATGACTGTCAAGCATAATATAGTTGCTATGCTTTAAAAGACCCCATACTTATCATGCCTGAAATATTATGACTGAGATGCGCTGGTGAGTTTAACAAATTGGAGAAATGCAAGGCTTAGTTAATGTAGCAACAGTGGAGCGAGAGAGAGCCTGCTCCCGTCTGCACCTTCTCTTCATTGGTTCTGTGAGAGAAGGAAAACTGGAGGAGGCTTCTGAGCTGTGATTGAGATAAAAAAGCATCTGAGCAGCAGCTCTAAGACTGGACGGACATCTCACAAGGATCGGGTGCAAGCTGTCCATCTTTGCAATGAGTGAAACAGGGACATCACTTTTCCTAATGTTGGTCTCTTTCCTAATTGTATTTCTTCCAGTATAATGACAAACCCATGCTTTTTCTCTGAGGCTGCTTGATTGATGCTCCAGCAAAATACAGATAGGCTATGCAGGGAGCGAAGGTAAATCAACCAACAGGAAATTACTTCTGGAATTTCTTGAATCCCAGCTCATAAATGAGGATGGGTCTTTTTCTTCCAAAATGAGATCAACGGAGGCTTGCAATGAGTAGGCCTGCAAAATAACACAATTTGTTTGGGTCTATCTCTGGAGCTAAATTGTGCAGCCATTCAGTTGGCAATGAAGCAATACTTCGAGCGTGTTCAAAGAACACCCCCATCCCTTTGTCTCAAAGGACTCAATCTGCCTGTGTGAAGAGGGCTGGTATTTGCTTTGTTGTTCAGCTCCCCACAACTCTTTGTGACTTGACAGATGTCACTTGACTGGGACTGGCTGTCAGTAGCTGCTCTCCTGGAGTTCTTGTAAGCCCCTGCTTGTGTCCTTGTTGATGGTATCTTCTCTTCTGGTGGCCTCTGTTTCGATTGCCTTCATTTTTTCCTAGTATCAGAATCTGCTCTTGTGACTCTTGTCTTCATGCTATCTGTCCAAAATATTTAACCTCAACTTCATTATTAGTACTTCAGTGAGCACGCTGGCCTTACTTCTGGTAGTACTGAAAAATCTGTTCCTTTTGCAATCCAAGGTGGCCTCAACAAATTTCTCCCACACCAAAATCCAAAGTCATTTGTTTTTCTTCATTCGCCCTTTCTGATCACTCACGTTTGACAACCCTACAACTGTGATCCCAGCAATATGAAGAAGGCTTCAGAAAATCCCTTCAGAACTTACATGGAAGATCCTTAAGAAATCTTAGGGATCTTCCATCCTATAGTTGTAAGTTAGGACTGGGAAGCTAAAGAAATATCCCAGAAGAAGGGACCTTGCAGTCATCTGGCATGAAGATTCAAGTGAGTTTTCATAGGCTTATGGGTGACAACAAAACCTTAGCAAAGTGGTTTGCATCACTTTCTCAGGGTCAAATAAAGAACCCCCTCAGCCCTTCACATAACTGACCACAATCTTGGTCTCCCCTCTTCCTTGGATCACACCCAGCTTTAACTTGGATCGTACTCAGCTTCTCCTAGAAAGCCTAGTGTTACTCCTACCCTGTCCCACCTCTATATCATGCAAGGACAGATGTTTCTTTCAATGGAAGCAATGAGGAGTGTTGCCAAAATGTGAGGCACTCCAGCTGCCCTCAGTTTAACATCTGGTCCAAGGAGCATCCAGGGAAACAAAAATGGCAACTGGCAGAGCAGTCTTACTTATGAACACCCACAGAAGGGATTCAACTGGACAATTAAGTGAAATTAAAAAATCCACCCCAGATACTGGTGAAAAAACAGTCTCTCTCTGAGCAGGTCCTATCTGGGTTCTTGCCTGATGTTGCGTGTGCAACATCTGTGTCTCCATCTCTTGCTGGCTTCTTTGGTGAGAAATATATTCAGGGATCAAACCCGACTTCTCCAACCTCCTCTGATCTAGAGTGGCACCATCACCCTCTGAGAGGCAGAGGACTAAAATAGGAAACTCGCTGTGAAAAGTTGGGGAAGGAAACGCTGCCTCTGAGCCACCCGTTGTGGGCTTTGTTAGACTATCACCACAAGATGCTACATCTGGGTGGAAAATCATCAGACTATTTTAAAAAATGATGCTCGGTTACAAAAACTGAAAGTTTTGAGAAGAATGGACAATGTATGTTAATTATGCTGACAATATAAAACATTCTCTTTCAATGGAGTTAATTTAGTGACATCTGTTCAAGTCCAAGAAAATACAAGGGGCGATTTAAGATGAAACTGTCGGGAAGAAAACATCAACATTGTGCAGCTTCCTTTCGCTTTTTCCGGCCAGAATTATTGCAAGAAAATGGGAATGACAAACTCGCCTGATGCATTTTAGCCTTTTCAAATATGCAGCAGCAGCAGGACTAACAAGACCACATGGGTCTTGTGGAGGAAAAATGCAGCAACTGCTCTCTAGATATGGCATATGTCATCTATATGGACCGTCTTCATGCAAGATGGGCTTTTTGGCAGGAGCCACAAGGAGGGCAGAGAAGGAAGAAGGTGGCTTTTGGGCTTTGGGGAGGAAGAGGGTGGTGACTGAAGCCAGGAGGAGACTGACTGTCTTCATGCCAGAGCTCCTCACCCTGGTCCATTGCTCGGCTTTTCAGAAACTTCTGGTTGGCTTACCAAAACACAGTCCTGAACAAGAAGTAGAGAGATGGCATGTTCTTGAGAACTTCCCTCAGTGTGGTATCTTCTGGGTGTGCTGAGGCTGCCCTGCCCAGAATTTCTAATCATGGTCCTTGTACTTAAAGTCATTTTGGGATTTTGTCAATTGTGATTCCAAAACTTTGGAAAGCATCATGTTGGGAAAAACATTTTTGAGTATAACCTGTCACTCTGTATACCCCACATGTTGGCCTATGATTCCCCAAATGATTGTTCAGCACAGGATAAATTCCACAGCAGAAACCAGAAACTAGTCCTTCACAAAATGTTCACTTCATGATGTCCAATTGTTCCCCATAAAGAAGCACTCATCTCTTTCACAAAACACATTTTTGCTTCTTAAACACCCTGATGAGGACACTTAAAGCAGAAGATGCTTTTGATGGCCCAGTGCGTTTCATGAAATCTCTTTTGCCTTCATTATCTGAACAGGCCTTCTCTTTCCTGAACTCAAAGCTTCAAGTTCAAAACACTTAAGAGGGTCACAAAAGATAAGCTGCAATTCTCTTCTGAAGTGGAACTATAATGTTTATTTTGCTTACAGACCACATGGAAATTAAGAGCTCCTTTTCATGCAATCATAAAACTGGTGCATCTTTCAATTAAAAATACTCGTCTACAATGCTTCTTAAGTGATATTATGTGGAATATCATTTAGCTGAACCACCTGAAGATCTGAGATAACATTTTCTGTTGATTTGTCATCTACTCAATTTCATTCACTGAAGAACTATCTTATTGATGCTGCTGATCTCTCCTCAAATGTCACACTGAAACTGGGGGAGGGGGGAATCACTTCTGGTGAAAGGTTACAAAGAATACAAGCAAAGAATACAAGTGAAAAGGCACTGAAGGTTTTATTGGCTTTTCCATATCTATATCTATATCTATTTGTAAAGGTGGATTTTCAACATTCACAACCACGTACCTTGGCAAAACACCAAATTAGGCAAAGTATCAGACAAATTCTATGATTTTAATACATCCCACTGATGAAATATGCTGTCACAGGCATGTTCACACAACCCATTGACCATAATCTATATATTAAAGATAAAAATTGAGTATTGTTAAAGCATATTTTATTGTTCTTTTTATCCCTTTTTAAAAATGTTCCTTTTTTGGAAAAAAAGATTGGCATTGCATCGTCTGAAAAGGCTATCTTCCCAATGCTTCCTCACCCCAAAATTACCTCCTCCAGCCATTTCATACAGAAGTTGAGTGAAATGGGAAGAGACACAAGCCACGTAATATCCCAGATAGGAACAATTATGGGCTGGACATTCTTCCTCACAAACAACTAACTGGAGTTAGAGAAAATGGGAACATAAAAATCAAGGAACTCTAAGCAATGAATCCACCTCTGTACATAGATATACCAATGTACCAATGTATTATGGTCATCTAGTCTTTTTGAGATGACACAGGGGCTGGTCATCAGCTGAAGAAGCCCCCATGTCAAAACCTCATTGCAGACTGCAGTTGCTTCTCCTAGATGCCCCTTTGAGCTACCAGATGACCTAATGAGGACAGAACCAAGAAGCCCCTCATGGAAATAACCACTGGGTGCCCAGACTTCCTTGAAACTTGTGAAGCTTTCACATGACCTGGAAACCTAGGTTGAACACAGACCTTGCAATGGCCCCACTGAACAGTCTCTGAAGAAGTTCTAAAGACGGCAAATGGAATGATGGGGTCCAAAGTTATCTTAAGCAGGAATCAGCTGAGGAAGACAGATGCATTTGTGACGGACATTGTTTTTTACTTCAAACTCTACAGTACTGAAATCTAAGACGATGAAGGTCCTCAGCCCCACCCCAACACTGTAAGAATTTGAATGGAAGGTGCCAACGGTTCTTCAGACAGAGCTTGTGGCAGCTGCAGTCACCTGGGTAGTTTTGATCTTCTTAGAAAGCAGTAAAAACTCTGGATCCAGCTGTTTACCATACCTGCTTCAAGGGCATTTTTAAGGCCAAGAATCAGCATGTCTAAAATCTGTCTGAGAGAAAAATCTATCCGCCTCTCCCAAGTCCCTTCTCCTGCCAATCAGAGGCCCTGAAAGAAGTCTGAACCCCAGCTCACATCGAACACGAAGAGCCGGAAGGATTCGCGTGGAACACTCTTGGAGTAGGGGGGTCACCATCCACCGACATCACCCCAAAACGGCATGAAATGTAGGTGGGGAGCAAAGGGAGGAAGAGAGAATGTGGGGCTGACGTGTGCAGGTGGAAAACAGGACATTTTGTTCATGAGACAGGTGTAAACAGATGATAATGATCAGGCTGAACAATACCGCAAGGTGAAAATTGCGTTTCTCACAAAAGGAGCCAAATGGGTCTGGATTATTATGTGAAAGGGGCAATTTCTTAGAGGAAAATTAGGTTTTGGTGACTCATGCCTGCAAGCCTATTGTGATGGGTTCTCATCCGCACCAGGGGCCATTCAAAAATGGAGGGCCTGCCAGAATGAAGACTCTGTTCCCACAACTTCTTTTTTTCCAGCTCTGACCTGAAACCAGAGGCAATTAAACTGATAACTGCGAGGTTCAAAGAAACACTTGAATCTCCGAATCAGAGAACATGACGGCTCACCTGTGTCCACAACTTGTACACAATGTGCTATGGCATCAGTGCTGACGAGTGGGGATAGTTTAACCGAGAGCTGGCTGAGAATTCTGGGAAGTGAAGTCCATGGGTCTTAAAAGTGTCCAAGATTGGGAAACCCTGTCCCTAAGGCATAAAAATAAATCCAAGCTTTGGGAGGAAAAAATCCACCTTCATGTTTCAAGACTTTCTTTCAATGGGTCCATTTTCTACCAGATGAATTTCCAGGTTAAGTACTGGAAGGAACAAACATGGATCTCTATTTTGGGGCCACCCACTCAGTTCCCCTACAGTTCATGTGATTTCAGCATTTCCCACCTTCCTGACCACAGTTATCCACTACCTGAATCCAGCCACATCAAGCTTAGATTTATGACCTGCCAACTGTGTTGTGATTAGGTGTCATCCCTGTCTCTATGCTCCCTCTGATATTGATAGATAATATTCCATAGCAGGGCATTGTCTGACCTTTCAAAGGTTAGATACTCCAAAATCAATATGGATCTTATCTGTCACAACCCGCAAGAAAAACATTACCGTGAGATTGGCCACTATGGATTCAGACAGAATGAAGAAAACACTTGGTGTGGAACCGTTCCCCCCCCCCCGGTCCCCACCCTAATTCTGTTCTGAAGACCCAGTTTTTCATTTTTATTCCTTGCTGGAAGAAGAGAAATACGTTTTATAGTGAAGAGAAAATTTGTCTTTTATACTAGCTGACAAGCTCATGTTCTTGGATAACATTAAAAAATATGAACTGTGAGTTTCAACCGAGTATACATAACCATCCCAGTAATGCCAGGGAGGTTAAGAAAGGAAGAAACGCGAGGTACGTAGGTGCATATATTCCTCCTACTGGGTCAAGGAGAAAAAAAACCTTGACCTACAGACTTTTCCAAAATAAATATTTCAGCCTTTTTAGATGACTAAAGAGGAAGGAAAAAGATAAAAAAGAAAACTGTCATTTCTTCAGCTGAAGGACCACCAAGACATTGTCCTCTCTCTCCTGCAAGGGCCTTGCTTGCACGTCTGCACGTCCATGCTTGTGCCTTCAGGAAAAACAAAGGCAGGAACAATCTCCCGTTTGCCATGAAGAGAAGGAGATGGGCTCTAGCCCCCTCGGTCCCAGAAATAGGCCATGATTCTATGGGAGAACAAATGAACCAGAAACCAAACTACCTTTAGCCATGAGAGACTAAGTGAAGAAAAGCAATGGCAGCCATCGGGGAAGGTTTGCTTCTATGCATCAGAAAAGAGCAACTGATTAAAAATCATGCAGCTCCCAGCCCAGGGGAAGCAGAATTTGCTCCAATACTTTTCTGTTTCTGAGGGAAAAAGGAGCCAATGGCAGAAAAGACAAGATTAAATATCCACTTATACTTTTACAGAGGCAAGTATGCTTGCCTCCAAGACTTCCCACCGGCAGACATAATTGCAAGTCACAGGAGGACTCCCACGTGCTAAGTCTTATGCCCGCAAATAAGTTTTTGAAAATTCAGTTGAGAAACAGATCACCAGCTAGATCTGAGGAGCACAGAGGAGCAACTGAGCAACTGAAATTTTCCAGTAAACCATTCAACAATGCACACAGAGGTCATCAGCCAAGATCCAAAGTCAGGTGCGGTCAGAAAAGATTAACAGTAATTTTCATTTAAGGATCTCATTTTGCTCTTTTCTCACCAAAAGGGCACCAAGATGAAGGGCTGAGGCAGAGATTACGGTTCTTAGTCCCAAGAAAAAACACCATTTGTCGAGGACTCCATCCCGAAAAGGCTATGGCTACCTACCATGGAGAGATTACAACTTTTCTCTCTCATCTACAACTTCACAATATTGGTACATGAAGGCATTTTATTCCCTTGCAATGTAGAATTGGGTTGGAAATACCAACTGGATTATATTTGAAATTCAACTGGGAAACATGAACAAAGAATCAGCATCAATTCTGGCAAGAACCCGTTCTTTGTTCCTCCAAAGGATAAAGAAAATCACAAACCCACAAAGGGCGGATCTTCAGTGGACCCAGCTGGTAGAACTCTTTAGGGGAAAGGAAATGGTGATAAGAGAGTACCCTAAACTCGGCTGGTTGGCATCCTGAATACTCCAGCATTTTAGCAGTGTAACAGAGTTGGAAGGCACCTTGGAGTCCAACCCCCTGCTCAAGCAGGAGACCCTATGCCATTTT